GTAATAACATCATCACCGATGATAATTATAGCTTGAAACTCCACACTGAGTTCAGCCTTTAGAACCTCCATCTTGTGTGTTATATGCAATAAGGTAGAGTAAAACCTTAGTTTTCTAGAACCTATAGGAAATCAGCATCTGGGAAGATGAGCTTATGATTAATCCTTTAAGAGCACTGCAAAGATGTACAAAAAAGATGGCTATTTATCATTAATAAATGTTGTTTAATAATATTTTTATGAAAATATAACTTGCATACAAAAAAGTTAAAAAATCATACAGCATAATGAATTATTATCACACAGTGAATACACCCATGAAACCAGTACCTAGATCAGGAAATAAAACACGACCAGCACCCCAGGAGCATCCCTTATGCCCCCTCCAAGTCAGTAGTCCCTCCCTTCCCCCTCAGGCATAACCACTATCCTACCTCTAGCACCATAGATTACATTGCCTGGTTTTGAACTTCATACAAATATATATATAAATGCCATTTATATTCTTTTGTGTTTGTCTTCTTTTAATAGACATTATGTTTGTGAGATTTATGTATGTTATGTGTAAAAGTAATTTTTTCATTTTTATTGCTATAAGGTATCAATATGTGAATATGACACAATTTATATATCCATTCTACTGCTGGTGGACATTTGAGTGTTTCCAGTTAGGTGCTATTACAATAATGATACTATGAACATTCTTAAAGATATCTTTTGTTGCACATATGTATGTGTTTCTGTTGATCTAAGAGTGGCATTGCTAGGTCATAGAGTATGTGTGTATGTTCAGCTTCAGTAAATATAGCCGAAGAGTTTTCCAATGAAAATTGCTAATTTTCACTTTCATCAGTAGTGTGTGAGAGTTCCCGTTTTTCTACTACCTTCTCAACGTTTGATATTGTTAATCCTTTTAATTTTAGTAATTCTGGTGAGTGTGTGGCAGTATTGTATTGTGGTTTTAATTTTTATTTCCCTTTTGACTGGTGAGGTCGGGGGCCTTTCATATGTTTTTTGGCCATTAGGTTATCTTCTTTTGTGAAGTATTAGTTCATGTCTTTTGCCTATTTTTTTCTGTTGGGTTGTCTTTCTTTTTCTTATTGATCTGAAAGAGTTCTTTATATATTCTGGATAAAAGTCGATTGTTGGTTTATGGATTGCAAATATTTCTTCCACTCTATGGCTTGCTTTTTCACTCTTAATGGTGTCTGTTGATGAGCGAAAGTTTGATATCATTCCGTTTGCATATCTTCTCCTTTATTGTCAATGCTTTTTTTTTATTTCCTGTTTAATAACTCTTTCCTTCTCCAAGGTCATGGACATATTATCCTGTGTTATCTTCTAAAAACTTTGTTTTTACATTTAGCTTCACAATTTACCTGGAATTTATTTTGTGTATGATGTTGGGTAAGGGCCAAGATTCAACTTTTTTTTATATGGTTATCTAGTTGTCCTAGACCCATGTATTGAAAAGAGAACTTTGCAGTGCATCCATTATCATAAACTAAGTTTCCATGTATTTGTGGAATTTTTTCTGGTCTTCAAACTTTTCAACTGGCCTATTTTTCTTTCTTTACTGTAGTACACTGGCTTAATTTCTGTAGCTGTGTAAGTCTTGATATCTAATAGTGTATAAGTTTTCCAACTTTGCATTTTTTTCTCAAGATTGCCTTGGATATTCTTGGCCCTTTGCATTTCCATATAAATTTTAGAATCAGCTTGTCAATATTATTTTTTAAACAAGTTGGGATTTTGATTCAGATTGTACTAAATCTACAGATCAATTTAAGGAGAATTGACATCTTTACAATATTGAGTCTACCGGTGCATAAACACTATTTAGTACATTTAGTTGGGTATGCTAATCACTGTGCTGAGCTCAGCTGTGGTATTTGCCCTTGAAGGACTTCCAAATGGTTAAACAAACACTTAAACACAAAATATAATTAATGTGATAACCTCATCTGTGATAATAATAACAGCTAACGTTTATTAAGTCCTTGTTATATATCAAGCATGATTTTAAGGGCTTTACGTGTATTAATTCATCTGAACTTCTTTGTGATGCTTTGAGGTAGATGCTGTTGTTATACCAATTCTAAAGGTATTTTTCATTTCAAAAGGGTCCAGTAAAAAAGAGCACCCAGGTCTTTATGAGAAGTCAGAGGAAGCATCACACAAAAAGTGGCAATTTAGCTGATTTCTGAAGAAGTTTGCTGCGAATGGGGAAGGTGGAACACTCCAGGCAGATCAGTAACGTGAAAAACATGAATAACGAGCAAGGTGAAGTGTCATGGACTTTCAGGAAAAAAATATTTAAAAACTAAACCTGTTGCTGTTGAGTCATTTCCAAGTCATGTTGACCTCATGTGCATCAGAGTAGAACTGTGTTCCATAGAGTTTTCAATGCCTGACTTTTCAGAAGTAGCTTGCCAGATCTTTCTTCCGAGATGCCTCTGAGTGGACTTGAACCTCCAACCTTTCGGTTAGTGGCTGAGCGCATTAACCATTTGCACTACACAGGGATTCCTTTTTCAGGAAACTTCCAGTGAATCCCAGGACTGAAATGTAGGGTGGCGAGAGTATGAATATGTGCGAGTGAAGCTAGAGAGGCAGAATCTGAGGGCCTTTTGGTCTTTGGAGTTTGGGAATTATCCCGAAGGCAGAGATGTGGAGCAGGGATTGACTGACTATCTGTCTTAGGTTGAGTTCTCCAGAAGCAGACCCTCAGATGAGGATTTGGAAGTAAATGATTTACTAAGGAAGTGTTCCCAGGGAAAATTAGTAAGAAAGTGGGAGGAGCAGGGCAGGGAAGGGGAGGAAGCCCGGCTGCGCTGTGATCCGAGGCAAGGTCCTTCAGGATAGTTTCAGTCTGATGTAGAGGCATTGTGGAGTGTGAGTTGCCCTTATCTGATACAAGGGAGCTGGGCCTTTCCTACTAGGCAGACCAGCCTCTGATGACCTGAGGATGGTCCCCCAGAAAGAAAAGTCACAGATACTGGCTGCTGGAGGCAAAGGCACATCAACGTCAGGGTCACATAAAAATGGCAAAGAAGAATTTGAGGAAATCTGGGTGGAGCACCTACATTGTCTACTACTTTGCCCCTTCTCCTTTTCCTCCATAATTGTCTTATAAAGGCCTTCAAGATCACCCCCATGCCCACCCTAGACAGCCCTAAATTGCTTTTGGGCCGTCTCTCTGTCTGTCCTTCAGAGATCCCAGCTTTGTCTCCTAACACCATGACCACAGTTTTCTGCTTGACACTGTAGAGCACCACACTTTTTCGTGTTATGGTGCTTTTTTCTCATCCCGTTTTCCTTTCTATCTGACCTTTTATAGACATCACTAGCCAATCAGAATGCTCCTTTACTTGTACAGGATGAACTAATACCGGCTTGGTATTTGCAATCTTTGTGTCTTAAAGTTCTTCTCTGAGATATCATTGTGTTGGTGGCTCGTGGACAACTGCTACATTATCCAAGATGATGGTTTTATTCTTTGAAACTTCGTTTTCAGGATTGAAACTAGTTTGAAGAATCTGGAAGTCTAAATTCCCCTCCCCAACAGGGGATTTTTTTAAATCACAAGTATTATATGTTAAATGAATTGACTTAAAAATTAAAAAAAAAATTAATAATTAGTTTTCATGGAGTACCCGTACCATGATGAATATGTTCTGTATGTGAAGCCATGAGTGGAGTGCTAAACTGGGGAGGGTGAGGGGGGCTTCAGTTCTGGCCCTAAGTCAACCTCTGGTGGCTTTATGATATTGGGTGTATCTGTTGACCTCTACTTGTCTTGGTTCCCTGTTTGTGAAACTGGAAGAGTAGCTTGGAGGATTCTTGGGATCCCTTGAAGCTCTAATGTATGAAGGCATTATCAATTTAATACAGGCAGTAATTTAAATGTCAATTTACATCAATTTCAAGAAACTTGAATGCAGCATCTATTAGATGTCAGGTTGTGTGCTAGGTGCTAGTGATATAAAGAAAATTGAAACCTTGCCCCACTCCCGTACTATTCAGTCTAGTAGAGAAGGCAGAAAAAGAAAGAATTGCAATTTAGTGCCAGCAATTACAATAAAGAATATATATCACAAGAGAGTAGCGTGACCACCATTGCCTGGCTGAAAGGCCTGTGAGCTAGATTTCAATGGAAAAAATGGTTCTCTGGGTAGATGTGGGGAGGAAGAGTGTAATGTAGAGTCATAACTCTAGCCTCTGTAATAAACAGACCCACACAATATAAGATTATTTCTAGTTCATGCAAAGTAGAGTATGTTTCTTGTTAGTGGACAATTCTCCTTGTGATTATTCAGAACCCCAGATTTCTTTCCATCCTTCTCCTGTGGCATCAGAATCTTCTCCTGGATCCTCTGCATTCAGCTGACAGAGGTAGAAGAGTGAGAGTGAAAGATCACACAGAACATTTCTAAGGGCCATGTTTGAAAGTGACATGTATCATGGTTTCTATGCTGGCAGAACTTGGGCACAAGCACACCCAGTTGCAAGGGAGGCTGGGAAATGTGGTCCAGCTGGGTGCCCCCTCCCCACAAGAAAAAGGAAATGGGTTTTAGAGAATATACATCAGCCTCTACCACAAACGGCAGCCTACAAGAGCACTTGCTGTGAACAGCTAGGTTTCCCTTGGGCCAATCTAATAGAAGTATAACATTAGCGAACTGTCAAGACTGGAGTGTCTGACCAAGGATTACCTTCATCAAATTGTGGTTACTGGGGACTGAGCTCACCACATCCTTGCATGGTTTAAGAATTCCCAAGTGAGAATGCATTTCAGGCACTTAGGAGGTTCTGAAATGTAAGAGGGAGCTGGGTGGAGCAGGGGTAAGTTCCCTACTCAACGAGATAAGCCCCTCACTGTCCCCTGCCCCTCTGATCCTCAGGTCTGGGATGTAGATAGAGAACTCACATCCATCCCGCTCAACAAATGGAGGACAGTTGAGCCCTATACTTATAATCTACTTTCTTCTCTCTCCACAGTGACACTTTCAGCTGCTCCTCCCTCCTACTTCAGAGGATTCACATTAATTGCCCTCAAAGAGAACAGAGAGGGTGATAAGGAAGAAGACCATGCAGGAACCTTCCAGGTAGGACCCCTACTAGGCTTATCCAATGGCCTTCCTTGCCCTGGTAGGTAGAAGCCGAACGGAAGCTGGGCATTTTGAAGAGTCTGAGTCAAAGGAGAGGGGCAAGTGTTTAACAAGGCTTTTCATGCAAATCCCATGACCATTGCCCAGGTGTGTCAGCTCCATTTAAAAGATACACAATGGAGTAGGCAGCAAATGCCTCAAGCCCATTTTAAGACATTCAGGGTTGGCCACCAGGCAGGGAGGGCTTGCATTGCCCAGCAGATGATGGGGCTCTTCTCTGGGCTCACAGTGCAGTTTGGCAGCTGGCAGTCCAGCGTGGTGGAAGTGCTCGAGCCCTGGCTAGGCCGGGCAGTTTTTCCTGCACCGTAATTTCCTGATTGACTGGTAATTCTCAAGTGTAAACGGAACAAGAGCTCAGGACCGCCAGACTGGACGGAGTTCAAAGCACAGGAGAAGGAGTATTAAGGGAATGAAGAGATTGATTTATGAGGGAAGATTAAAAGAATTAAACATGCTTTGCTTGGCTAAATGAACAAGGCCAAGTTTAAGAGGTGGTAATGGTCTTCAAATGTCAGTCCTCACAGAGCTCCCTCCTTAAGGGGAGGCTTCATTTGACTTTGTACAAAAGGGCACAGCAAGATGAAAGTGGGTCAAGAGACGAAACGGAATCTTAAAGGCAAGGACCCTGACAGTGAGTCAGATTTCACTGTGGAATATTCTTCCATGGGAAGTGGTGGGAAGGAACATCATCCCCTTTCAGAGGTTTAGAAAGAGGCCAGCAAGTTGTCAGAACATATCCCAGAAGGACTGGGGTGATCCTAGGAGGAGGCCTGGCCAAATTTGCTATAACCATTTCTCATCTTGAATTTCCATTGTTTTGGAATTCATTTTTCTCTGGCATTTTTATACACAGAAGGAAAAGAAAAAAAAAAAAAAAACTCAGAAGAAGAATACTTACATTCGTAGTTGGTTACTGGGGACTCTGGCTTTGACCAAGGACTGTGCCCCAAAATATCTTCCTCATCCAAAGGCATCTTTTGATCCTTTGTGGCCAGGTTGAACTTTTTAATCTCTGTGATAAAACATTTCCATCGTTTGGGATGCTGGGCTTCTTTTCTACTGGAACTGTTAATTTCATGCTCATTGTAATGTTTTTCTATGTTCCTAGATGGTAGGAACTTGTTGGCATGTATCTGAAGAAGTGACCCAATAATAATACTAACCACAGCTAATATTTGTTGGATAATTACCATAGCTAGGCACTATGCTAAGTGCTTTACCTTATCTTAGTTTAATTCTTAAAACAACCATAATAGATAGGAACTATTATCCTTATCTTACATACAGATCAGAAAATTGAAACTACAGAGATTAAAGCACTTGCCCAAGTGGCTAGTAAATAGTAAGGCCAGGACCCTCTATCAGGTGTCTGATTCCAAAGACTGTTGCCTCTCTATAACAGTGAACAAACTCCTGGCACAAATGTGTTTGAACAGTGCATCAATAAGGTTGTCATTACAGAAAGAGGGAGATTCATGCGTGTACTCAGCCCATAAAGCATTAAAATGTAACCCCCCTGTCCTTGTTGTCTAATTTATCTGGAGATGTGGGTGATTTATCAGATTCAGGCAGGTGAGAGGCCTTGGTACCTAAATGATAAGAGGGGTGAACCGGTTCAGTCATGGCCGATGAAGCGAAATTGAAACAGACCTGAATTTTTATAATATGAGTGAAGTGAAACGTGAAAAATTATGGGTCAAAGCCCTGGAATGGAAGAATCAGAAGAGGGATAGTGAACCCTTTCAGGAGCCTGATGGATGAGATTGGATTATTGCCAGGACTGTGGAGAGCAACACACATTCACAACAGTCGTCATCTATGAGTGGAGCACAGACGTTTCCAACTCTGCTGGACGAGAGATTTGGTTGCTATGTAATGCGCACGCTGCCCTTGTTGTCTAAGAGGGAGATTAAGTTTCTTCCACAATTTTTCCCATTTCGCTTATTCTGCTTCACGCAAATTTTAAAAACTCAAGTCCCTTTGGGTTTCACTTCATTGGCCATGACTGAACCAGGTAGAACCAGTTCAAAACCCTGTTCTAAGAAGGAAAAAAGCACAAGGTGGAAGAAGAGAGGGAAGAAAGGGAGACGTGTGAGCTTAATCTTCACCAAAAACAAAATTGATCTGATTTAAAATGACGCTTAGAGTCAGGCCTGATGATGGCATGTCTTTTTTCTTTAATGCACTTTAATAAGTTGACAGTCCTCTCTGACTCAACGTTGTTTCTGCTCAGGTTAATCCTGGTCCTTGCAACTGACTGGTGAATACAAGGCCCTGCTCACAGTGGACCAAAAAACCCAAACAAACCCCCATTGCCATCGAGTTGATTCCGACTCATAGCAACCCTATAGGACAGAGTAGAACTGCCCCCTAGGGTTTCCAAGGAGTGGCTGGTGGATTCAAACTGCTGACCTTTTGGTTAGCAGCTTGAGCTCTTAACCACTGTTCTGCTAGGGCTCCCACTCACAGTGGACAGTGAGTAAATATTTGTTGAATGAATGAACGAATGACTTTTTTGACTAGTGTCTGTAGCTCCGTTCTGTTTGGGACTATTTCAGAACTGCTATCTCTGAATGCATCCATCCTTCTCCCTTCTCTTGGAGCTTTCGACATTGTTTCTTGTTACATTGAACTTGTTCTCAGAGTGTGGTCGCTGGATCAGAAGCATCAGCACCACCTGAGAATTTGCTAGAAATGCAGATTCTCAAGCCCCACCCGGACCTACTGAATCAGAAACTCTGTGAAGGTGAAGCCCCTTTATCTGGCTCTTTTTTTTTTTTTTTTTTAACTTTTATTTATTTTGTTGTTGCTTTTGAGAATATGTACACCAATTCAACAGTTTCTACATATATAATTCAGTGACATTGATTATATTCTTCGAGTTGTACAACCATTCTCACCCTCCTTTTCTGAGTTATTCTTCACCCATTAACAGAAACTCACTGCCCCCTAAGGCTCCTATCTAATCTTTTGAGTTGCTTTTGTCAATTTGATCCCATATAGATAGTTCTTAAAAGAGCATAATGCTTAAGGAAGACATTTTTTGCTAGTTAAGCTATACTGTTGTTTGCTTTTAAGAAGACTTTAGGGGACATTTTTGGTTTAAGTTTTAAAGATTATCTCAGGACAATAGTTTCCGGGGTCATCCAGCTTCCATGGCTCCAGAAAGTTTGTAGTCCATGAGAATTTGAAATTCTGTTCTGCATTTTCCTACTTTTGATCAAGATTCTTCTATAGAATCTTTAATCAAAATGTTCAGTAATGGTAGCCAAGTACCATCTAGTTCTTCCAGTCTCATGGCAAAGGAGGCAGTTGTTCATGGAGGCAACTAGTCATGCATTGCATTTCCACCCCCTATTCCTGACTCTCCTTCCTCTGTTACTCCAGGTGAATAGACACCAATTGCTGTGCCTTGGGTTCCCCCCTACCCCAATCTGTTTTAACAAGCCCCCTAGGTGATTCTGAAGCATGTTCAAATTTGAGAACCATTGTTATAATGGATACCAACCCAGCCTATTCAACATGAAGTCTTCCCTCATCACATCAACGCATCTGTCTGTTCCTATCTATCCTCTCATTGCTTCTACCAGCCCTAGAGAGATCAAAGTGAGATAAAAAAATGTGAAAATGCCTAGCCTGTAATAATGACAGCTAACACTTACATAATGCTTGGGTGCCAGATACTGTTCTAAGTGGTTCACATTTGTAAACTCATTTAATCCTCAGAGCAGCATGAAGAGATAAGCATTATTATCCCATTTTTCATGGATGAGGAAATTGTGGTTCGGAGCAATTAAGTAACTTTCCTAAGACCACCCAGCTCTAAGGGATAAAACTGAGATTCAAACCCAGGCAGTCTGGCTCCGGATTCCTGCTCCTAACCAGTGTGTACATGTTAAGTGAAATAATGAGGGCCTGCTATGACCTTTTTTAAGGTAACAGTCTCTGCGCCAGGTGCTTTATATGCATTATCCTATTTAATTCTCCTAACCACCCTGTGGTGAGGTTGGTATTGTTATCCCCATTTTTCAGATGATGAAGCTGAATCCCCAAGGGGTAAAGTAAGTTGACCAAAACAATCCAGGCATCTACCAGGGACCAAACGCTGTGCCAGGGATTTTCTCACGCTTCAACTCTCCACCCTCGCCCTGCCTTTGTGCTATTAAAATGCATGCTTCTTTTGGTTTCCCACTGTCTCAGAGGTTAGCGGGGGAAGGAATCAGAGCTATGCCTCCATCCTGTTTCTTCTCCTCCTAAGAGATGTGGCCCCTATGCTTTTGCCCTCTCCCTCTAGAAAAAAAGTCTCTTCTCTCTGTACCAAAGCTGTCATCTTTGGAGTCATTCATTTATTCAACAGCATGTATCAAGTCCTGCTATGTACCAGGCACTGAGTACGGTATTGGGAACGCAAAGGTAAGAAAAGCAGACACAGTTCTGCCCTGCTAGAGCTTGCTGTGTCCTCCTTGCAGTCATACCTATTGACTCACCACTGCTGCTTAATGTGTAGCAGAACATCAACAAGTGAGTGGACAATCAGAGACCACAAATGCCATCGTAGTTAAAAATATATATACATAGAAATTAAGAAATATTTAGATATATTCCTTGTTAAACACCCTCACTCCAAACAAGACACCTTTGATGACTCAACAACAACGAAAAATTCTAATTCCCTACTCTTTTTAGGAGTCCCTGTGTGGCACAAATGGTTAAGCCCTCTACTGCTAGCTGAAAGGTTGGCAATTGTAACCTACCCACCCAGAAGTGCCTCAGAAGACAGGCCTGGCGATCTTCTTCCAAAAGGTCACAGCCTTGAAAACCCTATGGAGCAGTTCTACTTGGCACACATGGGGTCACCATGAGTCAGGATCACGTCCATGGCAATTAAAGACAACAACTCTTTAAGTGAGGTTAAAGATGACATTCTTCGTTCCTAA